GGATCTCATGCCTGAGGCTTGAAACTCCAGGACTGTGGATCTAAAACAACCATCCCTCCTGGGGAACTAAAATTACTGGCAAGCAACCATCTTTTCTGCCATTAATTTGTGCGATTCGGCCATCTAAGGTTTTTATTATCCATGGAAGGTTTTCAGCTGCGTAGAGCAGCGGTGCAGTGTAACAATACAGTCCTATAAACTTGCAAAGTAACTGCCTTGCAAGTTTTCCAGACAAATAAAGAATGGTTTGCAAAGGGTTATCCAAGAGGAGAATGAAATGACTTCCTTCTTACAAAAGCATTTTAATTTCTGTCTGGCAGGATTTGAAATTCTGGAGGAGCTGCCAACACCCAAGTTTTGCTTTGGAGGAAGAATTGGAAACAGCGTAACAGCATTGGTTTTCCAACGAAAAGAGTGAGGCCATCCATCTCGGGCAAATTAGATTAGCTGAGAAAAGCCTGAACTTTAAAGCAAACCTGACAAAAAACCTCAGACACGTGTGTAAATAAATGTTATTTGAGTACACAGTAAAATACTATGTATGGAACTCTAAGGGGCTATAAAACATTGCCCTAGAAACGTTTCAGCTTTGCATAACCTGCCTGTAAATTCTGTCCTTGCTACAACCTCACTTGTTTTAGGGAAGCTGTGAGTTTGTGAGAGACAAATAAGGCGTGCCAAATCTGAAGACCAACATAGCCACACGATGTTTGCATTTGGAACATAAAGGTCAGCTAGTGTTTCATTTCAGTATTGGTTCAGTAACCAATAGCAAAGGTATTCCACAAAGTACAAATCTCGTTCCTCTGCTGTAGTGTAATTGGGAACAAACTCTTCGGATGTAGGTGCTGGACCTTTTTTTCTTAGGAAAACATGAATATAACTGTCAAAGAGGGAAACGAATATAGAAGCTATATCTTGTGCAAAAAGAAGGACCAGCCAGTGCTTTAAATTCAGAATTTTGGAAGTTCTCAGACTCAGCACAGTTCTGTCTCCACCAATTCTTTTCCCATAGAGGCAGACCACTGAGTGTTTTCAGAATTCTCTCTTGCAGGAATGTCTGCCTGCTTTGTCAGTTATTTCCACTGATCCCATAAATATATAAAGATGCGATGTTCTAATCTCACTCGCCTGTGACACGTGCCTCTTTCATTATTAATTTGCCATACAAAAATGTCTTAAAAGCCAACAATGGCAGTAGGGGAAGCAAGGACATGCGACCTGGGAGGAGTATAGGGGTGCCGTCGGGGTATGTAGGGACGGGATCAGGAAAACCGTGGCACAGATGGCACTGATCTAGTGGGAGCTGTCCCTGCCCATGACAGGAGGCTGGAATGACGTTGTCTTAAAGGTCCCTTCCAACCCAAACCATTCTAAGTTTCTGTGATATGATTCTATAATTCTAGTTGTACAAATACAAAAGAATTCAAAGCATAACTATACATTGTTTTTTATTTTTTGTTTTATTTTTTTTAACTTGTGCTGTGATCCTTTTTTAATTTATTTGCCTTTATTTCTGTTATTTTGTACTATCAGAATACTCCTATTGCCTAAAAGAAAGGGAAGTACAAATTCTTTTTGCCTTGACACACACATTTGCCAGGTGACTATAACCTTGTTCTTTCCAGCATCGGGGAGGTCCCATTAGGAGGCTGGTTGTGTTTCACAGACTAGGTCATATTGCGTATCAGAGGAATGCTTCTCCTCATTGCCAGCCCAAGCAAGGTTCAGATCTTTAAAGGTCAAGAAATACTTCTAGTACTTCTGGATAGAAGAAACAAAACAAAACAAAAAAAAAAACACCAACTTCTAGATAGAAAATAAATATTTCTAGATAGAAAATAAGGTAAAAAAAAAAAAAAAAAGATTTGCCGTGGTGGTAGGTCTTCTCTCCATGATCCACCTGGTGATGTCTCCAAGGTAAGAATCCTAAATTCTACATTGTTTTTCTAACTGGAATACACTGATTGCATTAGAAGAATGGTCAAGAAGAGCATTGGGAAGGAAGTTAGTCCCAGGTAAATAGCTCTTTGCATGTTTGGACAGGCTGGTGTTCCTAACTTGAGTGCCAAAACCGTGACTTGCCAAGTTACCATTTGGGGAGCTATTGTAGTGTGATGCACTGCATCTACCCAACAGGACTGCTGCGAAATATAAGTGGTAATTCAGACACAGAATATTTTTGATGAAGCAGTACAAAGGATTCAAAGTGCACTACTGAAACCAACTTCAAGAAAAAAAAGGCTATGACATTTTTGTAGCAAATTTGGCATCAGGTGTAGTTAATGCAAGCCAATATTAATCAGCAAGTATTCTATCAGGATGTGTTTGGGGCATCTGTTTTATTCCCATCTGTAATCTTTGGTAACGAAGGCATGGTATGGATTGAAGATGAACTGAAGGTTGTCATGGATTTCCTTTTAATCAATTTAGAGGCATTAACTATAGATCCATACTGCATGAGTTACGCTAGGGTTCAGGGCAAGTATTGCTTTCTTTTCTGTATAGGTTAGATAATTGTTAGATTTTGTTCACTAGGTAATATTTTTATGTCACTTTTAAAGATAAAAATTAGCTTCCTAATATAGTTAAGCAGAAATTCTAGCATCAGATACATGGAAATATATCAACCACTTTCTATTAGTAATTTTAGCTGGGCATTGGAAAGCAATTCATAGTCATGGTAGCAATAAATAGTCATTCAGCATTTTCTCTTGCTATTATAGAGCTGTTTTTCAGTTGTTCTGGACAACTGTTGTATTTCTTTACAGTAATTATTTCCACCTAAAGGAATACATTTTCTACCAGGGAAGCTTCTTAGTGGTGGGGAAAGGCTGGGAACCTGTCTCCTCTTCCAGCCCACAATTTGCCTACCTCATTATTTAGCATGAATTATTGAGGGCTTCCACTTTGCAAAGCATTTTCCTCCTGCTCCCAGGCTATGTGTAGGCAGCAAGCCTTCAGGGATGGCACGTGGTTCCTCTGCTTTCCCTTTGGGATTACGGGATCCAGCCGTAAGGAGGAGATACACCAGCTAATGCCATCTCTAAAATATTCTCCTGCTGCCCCAAGGTGTCGCAGGCCTATTGCAGGAGCCTCGTTGGCTTCACATTATTCTTGCTTTAAGGCAGAATTCATGTGCCTGTCTACTGCTGAGGTCTTCACTAAAAAGTTTTCTAGTATATAGGTATGATCACGTTTATGGTTTTCAGTGAAAAACCTTTCAAAAGAGTCAGAGAAATAAGCGGAGAGTAAGGAGCAGGGAGGCTTTGCCTGTGGTTTGGGGAGTTTTAAGGTGGTTTGTAAGGTGGGTGTCTTCGTGAACGCAACAAAGTCAGGATGGATTTTAGTACCTAAGCCCTAACGAGCAGCCCCAGCTGCATTTGGTGCAGCTCTGCCCCTAATTCCTGGCTCCTGCTACCTGCTATTGCCAAGCAAGTGGCTTTTACAGGTTATTTCATGAGGAATTTATTGGGAAAGGCCTTTGTGGGCCTTGTCCTGCTGAGTGGGCTGGGAACATTTTACCCAGAGAAGAGCAGACTGCTGGATTTTTATGGGTTCTGTCAGGGAAGTGAACTGTCAGGATGAAATATCTGGCCGAGGAGACCGAGTGAAATTAATGAAATAAGCATTGATTCGAGGAGCCAGACCTAGGGGAGCTCTTACGCATGGGATCCTGCTAAGGAGTAGGGTAAGTAGGTTCTCAAGACAAAAAGCCTTTGCATTTCCAGCGTCACAGCACTTCCTTGAAGCAAATACTCCTCCGATAATCGTGTTTATAGAAATTTAACAGTGAGAAATGCCAGACGTGGAAACTGCGACACAACTGAACGAAGACAGAGAGTCGGAAGGAAGGATAACGTTCCCTCTCTCCTTGCCTTCCCTCTCGGTGACCAAGCTGGTATCTGTACAGAATTACGCTCATTTAATGGTCACTGCTCCCTGCGGGGTGGAGATGGCCAGCTGCAGAGCTCTGTGGGTTGTTGCAGCACAATTTCCATGCAGCAGCAGGCAGAGCACTTCAGCAAGTGCATGAGCCTGGCCTGGAAAGCCAGAGCTAACCAACAGCAGTGAGAGAACAGCACCGAGCCTCGGCACAGCCGCTCAAACATCCTAGTTCTTGTGGGCGATGTTGTATGTCAGGCAGAAGAACCTGGATTTATTTATTTGTGGAAAGAATTGGTGTTTATTGATTCGAAGTGTTGATAGGGTCGTGAGCGGAGACCTCCATGAGCAGCACGGACACGCAGGCACATGCACGCTGTTCCTTGTGTGCACAAGTTACTTGGGGAATAAAAGAGGGAATTTTAGGGTTGGTGCAAATCCCACCACGTGCCCCATGTGGTAGGAACCCCCCTCCGAATGACAGCGCTGTCTGCATGTATTTAGGGTACCACTCTCCTTGCTCAGGCTAGAAGATCCCGATGGCCTCACAGAGCCGTGCTTGCTCCTTGGGGACGGGATGCTTGCTAAAAGCCTTCTGCTTGCCAAAATTGAAGTTCTCGGACTTCCAGGATGTCTCCTGAGCCCAGGGCATGGCTCCTGCAGGCGGTCTGCACCCAGCTTTAGCAGCAGGAGCCTGATTCAAAAGCCTCTTCGTGTCGCCACCGCTTCGTCCTGCTCCTGATGGGTGATGTGTGAGCCGAGCTGCCAGCCACCTGCATCCAGGGAAGCTTCTCCTTTTCTCTCCTGCTTCTCCTGCCTCTTCTCCTTTCCTTTTTGCTGTCTGTGCATCTGCTGCGTGCCGGGCTCCACAGCCAGCGCCAGGCTCCCTCCGCACACCCTGCGTGCCACCAGGGATGGAGGGAGGGCCGATGAGCCAAACCAAGCCAAACCAAGCCAAAATAAGCCAAATTGAGCCAAATTGAGCCAAATTGAGTCAAATTGAGCCAGGCCAAGCCGTGCAGCAGCCTACCGCTGGCCGCAGCCCTGCGCTGTCCAGCGCCTGGCCCCGAGGAGGAGCAGCACCAGCAGGAGGCAGCCTCGGCCTCCTTTGGGGCACCGGGGACTGCTGCAAGGCTCTGGGGAGCTCCGAGGAGCTCGGGGGGCTCCGGGAGGCTCCGGGGGGCTGCGGGGAGCCGGCCCCGAGCTGTGCCCGCAGCCCCCGGGGGGGAGGGACCCGGAGCCGGGCTCCAGCGGCCGGGGGGGACCCCGCAAGGTGCGGGCCGGGCCCGGCTCAGGAAGTGACAAGCGCATTTCCTCCCTCCTCCTCCTCCTCCTCCTCCTCTTCCTCCTCCTCCTCCTCCTCCTCCTCCTCTTCGTCTCCCCGGCAGGAGGGAGCGCGGCTCGCAGCGGCCCCGCCGCCACGGTAAGAGCCGGGCCGGGGGGCGCACAAAGGGAGGGGGGGGGGGGACATTGGGGGGACATTAGGGGGACATTAGGGGATATTAGGGGACAGGGGGGGATATGGGGGGACAGGGGGGACCCTGCCCGTTGCCTCAGTCCCCGGGGAGGGCGGGCACGGCGCTGGGGATGCGCAGGGGGGGCCCCTCGGAAGCCCCCCCATGTGTAGGGCCGGCTTCTCCGGCTCCCCACGCCAGCCTCGGTTAGTTAATTCGGCTTGCTGATCAGCCTCATTAACCCCCCCCGCCCTCCCCATCATGTATATCCCCTCTGGGGGGGTGGCAGATCTCCAGGACCCCCTCTCTGCCACCCCAGAGCCCCCCTTGCTTTGGCACCCCAGGACCCCTGATCCCCCCCTTGAGCTGTGTGGGGTCTGGGGGCGCACATCCTACAGCCCCACAGCCCCGTCCCCCCTTGCTGGGCACCCCAGAGGGGCTCAGCCCTCCGCCAGGAGCCGAGCAGCCCCCCAGCACCGGTGACCCCCCTGGCCGAAAGGGCTGCGTGGCCCCCAGCAATGGCAGCGTGGATTTTTGGGGCGTAAAAAACCCCCCCCGGGCATCTCCTGGGCACCGCAGGCTCCGAGCATCCCCGCTGCGGATCCTCCTTGCCCACTCAGGCCCCGCTCGGTGTCCCCAGCGGGTCTCGGAGGCAGCCAAATGTCCCTGGCATCACGCACGGTCCCCTCGTCCTGCCCGGGACACATGGAAGAAGACAACGAGGAGAAAAAGCAGCGAGAGGAATCCAGCCGAAGCCGTCAGCCTCGGGACTGTGCCCTTCTCGCCTCCCTGGAGGGCTGGGGAGGTGTCACGCTGTGGTGCCCATTTATCCAGCCACCTTTTTTGCCTTAAATCCCCGTGTCCAAGCTCGGTGCTTGCAGGATGGAGGTGGAGGAGGCAGGGAGGGCGGCTCGGGGAGTGCTGCGTGTGGCCGAGAGCTCGGCTCTGGCTCCGGCTCCCGCTGGAGGATGATCGGCGAGAGCTCAGCCTGCCCCATCCAAAACTTCTTCACATGTGGGAGCGGGGTGAATCAGCACCAAGCATAAACCCAGTGCTGCATACAGGATCTGGGATTTTATACCTGGAGATCCAGCAGGCTGCCAGGCAGATCCGGCACCGACTTAGGCTGGCTTTCGAGTGCGGATGCATGAATTGATAAATACGTGTGTGTAAATATGCACGCATGCAAATAGGTGAACGTATCCCAACAGAAAGCCCCAAATCTGCCGCAGTTCATTACGGGCAATTAATTCTTCCGAGTCACAGAGGCTTGGTTCGCTTGCAGCAGGCGTGTTGGCAGAGCGAGGCATGCGGCGTTGTGCCCAAAGCCCTGCGTTTCGGCGCAGAACCCGTGCTGGGGGTGCATGGAGGAGGTGACAGAGGAGGGAGAAGAGGGTTTGCACAGTTTGTTTTGCGGCTGCCGGTCCACTTCTGATTTCCCAAGTGCCAGCTGAGTGGCTTGGGGCTGTTTTATTTTCCTGTCTTGTAATGCTCGCAGCCCTTCGTGCTCGCCCGGCCGCTCTCGTGGGGTGCACGGAGTTGCTCCTGCCCCACTCCTCGGCCAAGCTGTCTGTGGCTGAGTTAATTACATTTCTTTTTGCTCCTTTCCCTCCCGAAAGAGTGGAGGAAGAGGAAGCCAGCCTGCCGGCGTGGGGAAGCAGCAGACAAACAGCTGGGAGGCTGCGCCTGCCGGGGATCCCACGTGCCTGCTGTGATGCTGCGGGTCGGGGCAGCAATCGCTGCTTTTTGGGTGTTTGTGGCACCGGTATCCCGTCCTCATGCTAAATTTAAAACAACTGGGTGAAGAAAAGGGGGTTTTCTGCCCCGCTGCTGCTCCACAGGGCGTTAAGCAGCTCATTTGGTGGGGGGCTGATGAGCGGCTGCCCCGTGGGACCCCATTTGGGGGGCTGTGGCGCGGCCACCCTGCTGGCACGGGGAGGGAGGTGAGGCGCTGCCCAAATCTGCCCAGATTCGGGTGATTTCACCCTTTTCCTCCACCCCCCAACAAGTCTCTGGGTCCTGGATCTCGCTGCTGTTTCGGGCTGTGCCACGGAGCGCGGTCTCCTTCGGGGAGCCCAAGTTCCCAGGCAGGTGGTGCGGGCAGGGGCTGCGTAAATCTCTCCTCCTGGGCAGGTGAGGCAGGGACTGGGAATTACAGCGTGGTCACGCAGTTAAAGCACGCGGAATTTCGTCTGCCTGTGGGCAGCTGACCCGCTGAGCTGTGAAGTTTGCAGCGTTCGGAGACAACTTTCGCTGTCAGCAGCCAGGGCTGGAGCCTTTGCGCCAGAGCGGGGCGAGGGGAGGGTCTGAGGGGACCCTCAGTGGTGGTGGGCCCCATAAAAAATGTAGGGTGGCTCAGAGGAAAGCCCACCTCGTTCCTGGCCCGGCTGGTGGCTGGTGGAGATGTGCAGATCCCGATAGCTTCGGTTGGGAGCGGGGCCACCCGCGGGTCCGGCTGCACGCGGTGTGGTGCTCCTGATGCTGGTGGTGCCTGGCGTGAAGGAAAAGGGCTGCCAGAAAGAGTTTGGGGAAACAAAAAACGGTGCTTAAACTGCAATCTCGTGTGTTTGAGGTGGTGTCACGGTGCTGGAGGCTTCAGGGGGAAAAGCCGCAGGGTTTTTTCCCCTTTCCAGCCTGTTCACAGCGCCGCAGATGGCTTGGCACCCAGTGGGAGGGGAGCGGTCATGCCCCGTCCCGCCGCAGAGCTCGAGGAAGGCTGAGCAGGATGCCGTCGGTGCCAGCTGAAATAAAACCAGGTTTGCATTTCCATTTACTGCTGGAGTAGTATTTTTTTTTCTCTCATCTCAGGGCTGAAGAAATCAGGGCTTTTACAGGTGCCAGGCTGTAGTGGGGCTCTTCCCATTCCCACTGGATGAGGCATCCCTCCTCCTGCCAGTTGGAAAATTCTCTGTAGGTTTTGCTTCTCCAGGGGACTGCAGTGTGTAGGGGCACGCTGCTTTTGGGCAGCTGACCCCAAAAAAGCTGTGCCCACGCTGGCAGCAGCTCCTAGGGGGGGCCACGAGCGTGCGTGCGGCGGCAGCGGGGAAATGTTCCCCGCTCCGGCCCTCGGGGAGCCGCTGGAGGAGCCAAAGCTACCCGAGGTGTGGGCTGTACGTGCTGCTGACACCTTATGGGAACGGGGAGTGTGGTAGAGCAACAGATCGGGTGTTGTTCCAGCTCCGTGAACGTCTCCCGGAGATATTAAAAGCACCGGCTGAAACCTAAGGCCCAGCTCTCCATGAATGGCTCCGTGGAGACGCTGCCGAGCGCGCTCAGGTGCTGCTGGGCTCTGATTGAAACAGGGAAGCACCACGAGTGGGTGTTCGCTTCGACTTCTTCCTCCAAGGGAAGGATTTCTTTGGAGGGAAGGGGAAGCATCCTGCACTGTTCCCCATCGCCAAACGAAACCGTCCTGCCCACATCTCAGTGCTGAGCGATGCTGGACCTCCCCCTGCTGTCCAGGGGTCCCAAATCTCGGGGGTCCCTGCACCGTGCGGGGCTCTCCGGCTGTCCCCGAGGCGCTGGAGTCGTGACGGTGCCCCCGCTGCCCTGGCTTTGCTGTGCAGGACGTGCCTCTCGTAGGGACCAGGAGCTCTGCAGCCCCGCTCGCCCTGGCCGTGAGCAGGCGACGTCGTGCTCGGAGGTAGGTATTGAGGTGGGCTTTCACCCTGTCTGATACCAGCTATGCTTGGGGAGTGGCTCTGTAAAAATGGCACGGGGGGAACGCTGCTCAGCACCTCTGTCCCAGCCGTGTGGGTTGTACAGGGGCAAACGGCACGGGGAAGGAACAAGAAGTGCTTTTTGTGCCTGTTTACCCGAGCAGCTTGCTGCGAGCGGTAATTAAAAGTAAACCTGGGCTCCGCTGGCTGGCTCAGCACCCCTGGTTGTTAAGGTGAAGCAGCCAAAGCAATCCTCAATTCAGCAATTCCTCGACTTTCGGGAGCGTGGCCAACACTCACAGCGTCTCCCAGCCCAGTTGCACATTCTTGTAATAAAGCTCACGATTGGGAAAAGAAAATCCAATGGGAGAGGTGAGCTGGTTCTTTGGACCTGCGGGCTGCTCCCGCTTCAGCTGCTCTTCTGCAGAGACCACCTCGGTCCGGCCCCCTGGGCTTGCTCAAAATTAGCCCCCCCGAGGAAGGCGTTAGGCAGCGGCTGTGGGTTCGCTTCAAGGGGCCGTGCCATCTTTACAGCCATTTTTGGGGCTAAAAGCATCCTTTAGGGTACATCCAAGAGGCCCACGTGGCACCGTGCAGGGCTGTGCCAGCTGGGGCCTGTCCCTCTGCAGGCATTTTGCTGGTCCCCTCCCCAAAATTTCCATGCCACGCGGTGCTGAAGAGCCCGCATGCAGGAGTTGGCCCTTTGGGGTTTTGCACGAGGTCTCGTCCAGTTGCCACCTCTCTCCCTGAGTCCCCCAGTCCCCCGGTTTGCAGCTCTCCTCTGCGGGTCGCTGTGGCAGTGAGTAATTCTGCTCTCTTTTTCCTTCGCAGCCGCCAGGAAGGAGGAGGCGAAGTCGCCGCGACGGCGCTTTGGTGGAGCTGAGATGCTGAGGCCAGGCCCCGCCACCCCGTCCTTCCTCTGCGTTGTAAGGGAGTCTTTCCCCTGCCACTCCTACCCCGTAAGAGCAGGGGGGCAATAAAACTCATGGTTCCTTACTCAACGAGATGTTTAATTTTCATTAATCGCTTCTGGTTTTTTGGTGGGATCACACACGGGGCTGCGATCCCAGCTCCGTGTGGGACTTGGGGCTCCCCCCGTCACGTATTTGGGTTCCTGGCTTTGGGCTCCGGCTGCTTTGTTTTTTTTTTATTCACTCAGCGATTCGTTCGTGGCTGTGGGCAGCACCTGGCACAGCCGTGGCTCTTCGTTGTGCGCGTCCGCTCAGGCCAGGGTGGATTCGCTGCTCATGGTGTGCCCTGGGCTCTGGCGGTGGTCTGCTGATAATAAGCACAGAGATCGTGTGGATCATGGATCCATGAAGATCTACCAAGCTCCTGACACCCTAAACACCACCAATTTCTGCTTCCCCCTCTGGTGATTAGAAACTTGGAGGGCAGCAAATCTTTTACCTATTAATTAATGGTGAACGCGCATCGTTGTCTCGTTAATCCTAAAAAAGACGGGTCTGGGTACAGGCAGCCGGCAGAGGAAGGCTGCTCGTGCTCCCGTGTTTGCTGTTTTCTGGTGTTTTGGACCCGTGGGTGAGGACTGGGGTCCTGGGAGCTGGTGGAGACCCCACTGAGCCAGGGACATGGGGCGAGGCAGGGAAATGCTGCTAACTCTTCGCTCCAGGGCTGGAGAACCTGGGGCAGCTTGTTGCTACCCGTGCACAGTCCTCAGGTGGCTTTTGGCGAGCAAAGACTGATTGTCAGGTCCTGAATGGGATCTTTTGCGTTTATTGGATGTTTTCACCTTGTAAATAAAAATATTTACTGGTGATGTGGAGGAGTGAGAAGCTGGACAGGATGTTTTAGGGAAGGGGAGCGAGCTGCCCAGAGCTGAGCCCCTCCAGCCTTGCTGCAGGAGTCAAGGCACTGCCCGAGAGAGGAGATGAGCCCAAACTTGGCTCCGTGGAAATGCCAGGCTGCAAGGATTTTTTCTGAATTTGTAACACAATAAATGTACAAGTTGAAAATGTACCTGCTGCTGTTATTTAACTGTACCTGCTGGTATTATTTAAAGCAGGCTGAGGCAGACTGTGCGATAGGGAGATTCAGCATAACCCCAAAATACCTTAATCGGGTGGTGTTCTGGGGATAGAGGACAGTCAGCTCCACCGAGCGAAGAGTTTTATTATATGGACACCATCCAGTGACTGGTGAAAAAAAATATTTATAGATTTAATTCTGCCCTTTAAAATGTACCAGTTGTCCCATGGAAACCTTCTGCAGGGTTGTTGGTTCCGCTCTGTAAAAAGCCCTAAAACATTTTCTAACTGCAGGAAGCCGTGTGGGCTCTCCCCAAACTCCTGTAAGTCACCGCCAGACCCGGGGTGTTGCGGAGAGGATTTGCCCGCTGCCTTGTGCTGGCACCCCAGGCTTTGTCTCAGCTGCTTTACAGAGATAAATTCTTCTGTGTGCAGCGGGAGGGGAGCTGGAGGCTGACTGGTGCGACTGGGAAGGTGTGAGCGTGCCAGAGATGTGCTCAGAGTTTGGCCTGGAGGGACCAGGTTGGCTTCTTCAGACGTGTGGGTCTAAAAACGCGTTCAATGAAAGCGTAACGTGTTTGTAAAGTGCAATTAGGTGGACCATGGGACTCTATATCCTTAAGCACAACTTAGAAGTGCTGGTTTATTCCTTTCCCACTGTAATTTGTTTCCGAAGACCAGCGTTCAGGTGCTGTGATGCTGCCCGTAGATCGGAGCCGAGGGAAACCTCATTCCCTCTCCACAGCTGCGGAGGTCTCAGAGGCTCCCACTTGGTCCATATTTTTTCTCCATGGTAGAAGCGACTTTTGCTAACATTTTACAATTTCTCCACACTTGTCCTGCTCACGCATATTCCATGCAGTTGGTTATTTGGGGCTGTTTGGGGGGAAATCGGTGCCTTTCCCCCCCGGCAGCTCCCAGCCTGTGTCATCCCCATGGCCGTGGCCCAAGTCTAAACTTAACCTTGGCTGAAGGCTGAAGATAGTCCCTTTATCTGATGGCAAACGAGGAAATACATTTCTTAAAATAATTAATGGTCCCTGAAGAGTATCTTTTTATTAGCATCCGTGTGTGTGAAAGCTGCTGCTCTATAAATACGCGGCGGTTTCCTGCTCACAGCACAGCGCTGACAGGGAGACCATCCCGAACGGGGTGCCGCCCCTCAGAGCTCCAAAATCCCATTTCAGTGGAAATTTCTGCCTTTTTTTTTAATTATAATTACCATTTATTGGCGGGGGGTGCTTAAAAAACCCCGCTGAACAGCGGTGAAAAAAGAGCCCTGCGCCTGGAGGCATGTCCTGATGGTGGTGGGGTGCTGGGACTGCTGCTGGGGGGGTGTTGGTGGGACCACTGCTGGTGGGACCACTCCTGGTGGGCTACTGGTGGAGCTACTGGTGGGCTACTGGTGGTGGTATTCCTGGTGGAGATGCTGTGGGCCTGGTGCCGCCATGGGAGCTGCTGCCCGGGCTTGCCGCCGCGCCCGGGCGTGCGTAGCCGTCTGCTGCAGCAGCATTAATCATTACCTTGGGGAAAGATAATTATTTGTGGAGAAATCGTAGCCCGTTAACGAGGAGCCATGCTTAACTGCTTCCCTGCTGCTGGGAGCGCTCATTTGAGCCCCAATTCCCCTGTGGTCACCTTGCTGGTGGTGGCCCCGGTGCCCTCCAAAGCACCTCAAGGCCGGTGCGGGCCCTGCCTCAGGCCCAGCAGCAGAGGTGGCCACAAATGGCCCCAAAAAGCTTGAGGCAGAGGTGGGGATGAGCCTTGGCTGTGGCTCAGCTGCTGGTGCCATCCCTGGGGACAGTCCTGGTGGCCCCAAGGAAGAGATGGGCCTGCAGAGATGGGGCCATGAGGCACCATGAAGGCTGTGGTGACCTTGCTGTGAAACACCAGGGTTTTGGCAGCGAGTCTACCACCAGAGTTGCTTATTTTGTCCCATGTGCTTCTATTTCCATCTTTCCTTGCTGCCAGGCACCTTTGGTGTGTCCCCTGATACGTGCTGGCCCTGGCAGCCCTTTTTGGAGGGCTTATGTTTGCTCCCAGCCTGCACAGCCCCAAGCCTGGGGGTCTGTTACCCTAGAAGAGGCCGAGGCCATGCCAGGTGCCACCTGGAACGATAAATCCTTGAAACCTGCATGGATTCCCCATCCCGGCCCTGCACTCGGGGTGAACTTTGTCCTCAGGAGCCCAGAGGAGGTGGCTGCTCCCCACCAGCCAGCTGGCCTTGCAATGAGCTGCTCCTAACAGCGGCGCGACCTCCAATCCAGGCAAACGTGGAAAAAGATGAATTTACTATGAGCTGTAAAGAGGGGATCCGTATCAGCTTGTAAGGAGGTTTAACGCCCAGCAGCGTGTTCTCAAGTTTTGTCCTTAAACACTGCGACTTGCTTTTGACTGCGTGGCCCCAGATGAGTGCTTCCTTCTCCTCAGATCACGCAAATGCTGGTTTTGTTTGTTTGCGTTGACTGCAAGGCAACGAAATGGGGAAACAGGATTAGAGGGGCGATTTGGGAAAAAAACACTGATTTCTCTAATCAGATTTGAGTCGCAAGCTGGCTGCTTCTGCAGGGGGGTCAATGCGGGGAGAGGATGCCAGGAGGTGAGGCAGGGCTGGGTGCTCGTGGCTGAGGCTGGGCAGTGCTGTGTGAGCACCACCTGCATTTTACGATATTTAGGAATTGGGCTCCTCGTTGTGAAGCCCTGACTTAGCTTTTACTGCCTAAAGCTGTGAAAGAGGTAAGGGAGGATCAGGAGACACTGTGTGGCCCTCAGGAGGACGGGCAGGGAACCCTCTCCTTCCTTGCAGGCAGCTCCGTGCCTTGTTCCGTCGCCAAAAGGCTCCTCTTGAGCCAGGAACCAGGGAGATATTGGGGTGGCACTGGACATCCAAGGGGTTTCCCAAAGATAACAATGTGGAAATGTTTTTTTTTTTCTGCTGGAAATCTGCTCTTGGTCGCTCTGCAGGCAAGGGCTTCTGTGAGATTGCCTCTGGGGCTTTAGTGGGTCCTTGTTCTGCAGCCTCAGCCTCTCTGACACAGGGGCTGCGGGTTCCCTTTTTCAGAAGGGAGAATTAAAGAGGAATTTGTATTTATTTGCTTGTCTGAAATACTCCTGCCCCTCAGGAGTATGTGCTCCGGGCAGCTCCTGCAAGTGCCGTGGCACAGAACAGCTTTGAGCTGATCGGGTGCTGAGGAACGCCAGCAATGCTGAAGAGCCTAAAACAAATACTCCTCGCCCCTCTCCTAACACAGCCTCTTCGCCCCATGCCTTTGGCCAGGAAGGGTGCTCCAAGCCCTCCTCTAAACCTTCTCCTCTCTCCCTTGTGCCTGCAGGGAGTCACCAGCGTTCGGCCGCAGCCCCCCGCTGCGCTCGGTCCTTTTTGGGGGAAAATGCACTGAAACGGGAGCTTCGCCAGACCGCGGCTGACGGCGACCTCTGCCTGGACCCTGATGGACTCCGACACAGGACTGCACTACCATGGTGATGATCTTAACCAAAACCCGGGAAAACAAAGGTGCTGACTCCGTAACATGCAGGACTGAGCTGGTAAGCCTTGCGGGGTGTTCCTTGACAGCTCTGCTGCTGAAGCTTTATGGTGTGCTTTCTTCTCGTGCTGCAGGACCAGATCTTTAGATCTTTATATGTTTTTTTTATATGGTTTTATCAGTAGTGCTCCACCGGTTTCTACTGGGCTGCATTCATTTCCAAGGAGCAGGCGAGGGGTAAATGATTGGAGTGCCTTAACTTTTGCATGCGTGCATCTCAGTAAGCGTGCACTAGGATAAAAAGTAAAAAAATAAAGAAATAAAATGAATGCCATGAATGACATGGGTTAGAAGTTGCTTTACCCAGAGCGAACAGATGCTCGTCGTTAATAGGAGGATGAGCAAGTGGGGAGCAGGATTAAGGGGGAGATGGCAGAGGTCAGGCTGTGTTATCCCTATGGGATAACACGGAGCCATCCTATAAAGCAGAATGCAGGGCTGGCCATGGGTGTTTGCACCTCCAGGAGAAATTGTCGTGGTTGGAACAGAAAATAGATCAAAATGGTTCCTCACAGGGTGCAGAGAGCCCCAGATAAGGATGCTCAGGAACACGGCAGGAAGCAGCTGGCAGGATTAGCCATAAAAGGGCATTTTGAGCCTGAAAACAACATAAATGCCCGACTTTGCTGGGGATGAAGGTCTGTCTGGCCAGGCTTCCTGGGCAGATAGCTCAGGGTGCTGGGTGGTGGAGGAGGAGGCAACCAAGCCAGAGGCTTCAAGGGGTGAAATTTGGGAAAGAAGGCTGTTGATACATTAGGAAAGTGTCAACACTTCACTGTTGGCTCCTGCCAGGAAGGCAGCATCTCCTGCGAGGGGGAAGGCTGAGAATCAGCTCTGGCCATGCCCCAGGAAGATTTGGGAGCCTGGGCAAGGGTCCTGTCCCTGCACATCTCCCTAGGGGGCTGCTGCCTGTGCAGTAGGGGAGCTGGCTGCAGAAAGGCCGAAAAGTTTCCTCTCCGTGTTGCTGGGAGGGCTGCGGAGCTGCACCACCAAACCTGCCCTCCCTTGCTTGCTGGGTGCCTCCCGCTGCTGTGGGGCAACCGGCTGGTCCTGGCAAGACGTTCACAAGAAGTCTGAGCTAGCAAAGAAAGCAAGAGTGTTTCCAGTGACTTCCTGGGGCCCCCGAGCTAAATAAAATAAAGCTCTGAGCTGCTGTCAAAAATACTGCTTTTCCTGGGGTTTGTCCCATTTCCATGGTCACTCCACTTTGGCCACTCTTTGGAGAGAGCTGCCCGTCCTCCTTGCCTCCTGATTAATTTTACCTGCCACCTAATAAGATGGTACATTATTATTATTATTATTATTATTATTATTATTATTATTATTATTATTATTATTATTATTATTATTATTATTATTATTATTATTATTATTATGTGAGCAGGCAAGGTGTAAGAGATGAATCAGGAGAGAAGGTGCAATTGTGGTGGCCTGACGCCAGGTAAAACCCAGCAGTGGCAGCGCAGATGGACGCGGATCACATGCCAGAGCTTTGCTCAGATGAAGTAAAGCCTCGTTCAGAGAGGATGGAGCTGCCAGGACAGGCAGTTTGGAAGCAGAATATGGGTATTTGGGGGGAGAACAAAAGAACAATTAGTATGAAAGTGTGTTTTTGCGGGCATAGCTGAAATGGCATGCGATGCCGGATGACATACTGATTTATTGTATATAGAACTGTCCATGCCCATTTTTAGAAGTCTGATTTTTTGCCATACACAGTCAAGAGGAAAATTCTTGGACAAAAGGAGCATAAAAACCCAACTGGGCTTATTTAGTGCCCGTATAGTGGCATTTTTCCCTATTTTTAGTGCGCATGGGCACCATGCAGATTCAGAATCCTCAGGAAAAATGCTGAGGTGAATCTCAGAAACATGCTAATGTGTTAAAAAAAACACATAGCTGCTTTGTGTCTAGGTGGGAGACCTTCATGAGCTTGGAGGGGGTCAACCACCACTGCTGCTCCTGTCCTGCCCCGTCCAGAGTTACTGCTGAATTCCCAGTTTAGTTTCTGCACTTTTGGGTCCAGGGGCTGGGGATGTGGCTGCAGCTGTTCCCGTGGGCCAGGACTAGCCGTAGGAGTGATGGTTTGCCAGCTCAGGTCTCCACACCGACTCTCCACGTGAGACGTGAACAGTTTTTTTGGTTATTTTCAGCACACTCCAAAGATGAGTCAAGGACCTACGCTCTTCTCTTGTGGCGTTATGGGTAAGTAGCCGAAATTTCGTTCTGTATTTCCTTCACCTCCGCTCCCGCGTCCTCGGCCATGTGCGGGGAGATGTCCTGACCTTCTGGAGCCCTCCTAAAAATGCATCATGCCCTCGGGTTGCAGCCCCTTGGTGCCACAAGGTGCAGTGTCACCTGGTGTGGGAACCCCTTAGTGGTGACCATCACGGCCAGGCCACCCTCTTTTTGAGGGGCGCTCTCCTGTCCTCCCATCCAGGCTGGGTGAATTGCTTGTCTCCCACCCCCCAGTGCTTTGATATATGTGATTATTTTTAGAATTACTCGTATTGTTGGGATTATAAGCATTTGGGGTCCAAGAATGTGTTTCTCATGGTTTTGCGTATCCAGCCCACGCCCATGACTCTGCATGATGCAAATAATAAATATGAATATTATCATTAAAATGTTCTGCTGCTTGGCATGATGTGTTTGATCATGCCTCAGACAATAATGAAAATATCTTTTTTTGCCTTTAACAATAACATGAGCTGTTGTATATGGTGTTTAACACCTTTTGTGGCAGAGCTCTCTATCATCTGTTATGCTGGAAAGCCTCTGAAATTGGTGGGGGATTGGTGCGTTGGCCCACAATCCCGAAAAACCAATGCTGCAGGAGGATGTGCCCCTATATTGTGTTCTTTGGGTTTTGTAACGGGGAGCCAGTCACTAGGCGAAGTCTCAAAACCCAATTAAAATTGTAGGTCAAGTTTGAGCCAAGCTACTTGGTATGAAAGCCAATGCTTTGCAGACAAAGAGGCTGCCCCTTTTCTTCGTGGACACAACTCTCATTAGCGTTAATGGGAGCCGAGCACATGCATTGAGGGGAGATATTTCCCAAGCTCCCTGATAACTTGAGTCAATTGGAGGAGGAGGGGGGGGGGAAGATGGAAAATGTTTTGATTATTTTTTTTTTCGGATGAAAGTCACAAGCTTCTAAGTCAAGAATGGGTAGAAACAGTCCGTTCCCTTTCTCCTGCCTGTCAGAAATGAGGAAGGGACAAAGAAACCCAATCAGATGGTTTTGTCTTGTGCTGTGGCACTGGCAGGCTCCTCCACGAATATGAAGAGCCTGAGCCTAATTGAAAACCAGCTTGGTGTTAATAGCTTTTACAAAGCCTTTTGCGTCCTCCTAGCGCGGTGCTGGTCTTCCTGGGCTGCCAAATTATCCTGTTTCCAAGGGAACCCAATCTCACCTCCTTGACCACGGCTTACCATGTAATTGTCTTTGTCATGCCCAGTCAAGAGGAGCGAGTCCCTGGCATGTCAGAGCATTGTGTGGTTTGTGCTCCATTTTTCAGGCGTCTTTCCCGAACGCTCTTCTTGATGCCTCCAAACCTGGGCCACGGTCACAAACCAACTCCACGCTGAAACTTGCTCAGTGTTTTAAGTAAATCCCAGGGTTACGACGGCCCCAAAAGGGCAACTGGGTAAATATTTCAGGTCAGGAGGCCAAGAGGGAAAGCAGGGAGGTCTCTTGCCAGAGGGGATGCCATATACAGGGATTGCTCCCACTGCCAAATTCAGTATTGGTGGCCTCAAACCAAATCTAAAGGAGTCGAAATGTGAATGTCACAAATGTCTTGGTCAATGGGCACTCCAGCAGCATCGCAACGGGCAGCACGAGCCACTCTGCCAAGAACATTGCCTGCAAAAAGCTCTGAAAAACACTGTGAAGGGGATAGGAGTAAACTGAGTCCCACGACATTTTAGATGTAGGATGTATTGAACTCTGAAAGGGTCTGAAAATTGGTTATAGGTTTTATTACTACTCGATATATGAGCAAACATTATTAAAGGCTTGATATGTCAGATGGTACAATGGTAGATCCACTTTTTTTTGATTTTTAGGTTTATAAGTAATACTCTGTCAGTGGGATGACAGAAATATTAGTTAAAAGACTGTTGAATTTATAGTTCTAGGCATTTCATCTTTAATCTTCCTAGCAAAGGGCTACCTAAATAAAAAAAAGCATTTTTCCCCTTCTCCTTGATGGGCCCTCGAAACACCTGGGAGCGTAAGAATTGCCCTGTTCCTGGATGGAGTCTTTTTTCCTTCTCTTTCCTTGCGGTCTCCATCACATGCCCTCCAGTAAAAGAGCGTGTTAGAGAAAGAAGCGAGCGTTTTAGAAAGTTTGGGTATTACTTTTGGCTTGCCCTGTTGGAAATTTTCCATCTGCGGGTGGACGGCAGTGGCAGCTGCACGCTGTTCTAACAACACGTTGGCAGCATTGACCAACTCCTCCTTAGGTGGTGAGTAAGAAGTTTTTTGGCACCTCAATGGGTAGCAGCTGAGGAGCAGGCACGTTTTTACCAAAACGGTGTTGAATTTCCCCCCCCATGCACAAGGAGCATGCACGCGTTGCCTGCTCTCAAGCAGTAGGTTTGGGGGCTCGCACTTGCTGAAGCCCAGCTCCACGCATTATTTTTTAATCTGATTTGTGCCAGGGGAAAGCAGGAGGGCCGTCAGGCTCCATGGCACTGCCACCAGCTAATTGCAACCATCAGATTTGTTCCACGTCGAGGAATCATCATCTCCTGAACATAAACAAGGGGCAGTGGAAAATACAGGTCCGCCTTTTCCCCGGCGCGCCGGGGCCAGGAGACTAAAATTCAACGTGGACACCATGTCGAAAAAGGGAGCTGGATGTGCACCCGCACGAAGAGAAATGTTTGGGTTAGGATCCAAACAGAATTTATCTGCCAAAAAGGAGGAAAAAAAAAAAAAGTGATTGAAACCCGTAATTACTTTACAAGTTGCTGTAATAAATTATGTATGAATGTAAATTATTTCACAGGGAAAGAACGTGGAGGAAACTTGAGCAGAAGGATCATGCATTATGTATAAAAAGGAGCTGTAAAAATATTATAGCAGCACATTTGTGCCGTTATGGTTAAAGTTGTGTCAGCATTTTGATTTTACACCCTTCTTCTCTGTGGTTATGAGCATGGCTGTTAAAATTTACTCCGTGTCATCGGAGGAACGCAGCCCCTCAGCAGGCGTTTCGGCAGCCGCTGGCCATCCCGAAGGTGCAGGGGAAGAAATGCAAATGTTTCCCTGGGCTCCAGGCTTGTTTTGGGGTACCGAGACCCCAGATCAGGTTGGTTATTTCCAACGAAGTTTCAACAGGACCTCCTTCACCTGCGGTGCTCATAAATTAAATGCTGGCCCTTGGTCTGGTGGTGCGTGCACAAAGCTCACCTGGTGCCTGGGTGGCATGGATGGGTTCAGGTCTCTGGGGTACTGGTAGGGAATGGGATCCCCCTCAGGGCTCCCAGTGCCCAAATCTTGGAGGAAGGGCTGCAGCAGGGCACAGGTAGCAGCAGGGCTTGGGGTGCCACACTGGGGTTGCTGTCAAATTCGCCATCAGTCTGGCCCTTTGGTGGTCGTTTATTGCGGATGGAGAGGTTCATCCCTCATCTCTCCTGGCTTCAGGCAGCAATTTCACCTCAAATCCCTTGGGTGAAGTTTTCTGGTTCATCAGCGACTAATCTTTATGAACAGAACAGAGCAGTTCAGTTGGAAGGGACCTACAAAGATCATCCAATTGACCGCTTGAGGACTAACCCAAAGTTAAAGCGTGATATTGAGGGCGCTATCCAAACGAACGCTGACAGCCACGGGGTATCAACCACCTCTCCAGGAAGCTTGTCCCAGTGTTTGGCCACCCTCAAGGTAAAGAAATGTTTCCTAATATCCAGTCTGAATGTCACCCGGCTCAGCTTTGTGCCGTTACAGTACAGCTACAGCAAACCTGATGCCTTCATCCAATGGGAGCCAGCTGTGCGAGGATCTCGGCGCTGTTCGGGGGACACCACCAGTCTGAGACCTCAGGACATGGACTTGTTTGAAGATCACCCAGGGAAAAAGGTGGACGTTGTTCCAAGTAAATTAGGAAAGGGTAAAATGGGGGTAAAAGGGGAAATAAAGAGAGCTGCTCTAGATTAAAGGGTAGCAGGCTCTAAAAGGTAGCGTGTTTTAGACCCCATAAAGCCATCCTCATTTAGTTAATGGACATATTCAGCAAGTGACTGAAAGTTTGGTAGCTTTAAGTTAAAATCCAGAAGTCGGAGGCTCAGGCTATCTCATCTGAGGACAGCGACAGCCAAGAAGGACCCGGATAACCATGAGGAAGAGCTTCACGTGCCACAGCTGCATCGGAGTTTTATTGCAAACGTTCTCCATCATTTTCCGAGAGGCAAACGAGTGCTTTCCAGCAAAGCCGTTTACTTCTGAACCGGGGAGCTCTCTCGGTGGATTTTATCCTGGAACAAATTGCTGCCTCTGGGTAAACCAAGCTGAGGTTTGTAATTTAAGAAAATTAATACAGGCTTAGCTGCAGCAGTATTAATGGCTCCGCTGCAATTATCGTTATCAGCGTTCTCGGGACGCGAATCTTGGTCTTAAAAAATTGAAGAGAAAAGCAGCCAGGTTTCCTCACGGGGCTTTCCCGGGTCATTTCATCACACCCCCGACCCCTAGACCGCCCTCATTTTGTGTTGGATTTGTGGATTTGTGTTTCCATTGGTGTCAGGGCAGACACTCTGCCTCGAAAATACATTTTGGGGGCTACTGTGGCAGCGGGGGACCAGCACCCCAAGCACCTCCTGGATGGGAGCTGCCCCGCCAGGCACCCGGCTTCCTCCAGCACGTGCTGAGCACAAAGGAAAGAAGCAAATAATAACCCGAAGTCGCTGCTCGGGTTAACAGCACGCTTACAAGTTTCCTCGTGATTATTTTTTTTTAAAGATTTATGGCTGTTTGTGCAGGAGTCACGTTGGAAGAGGAAGGTGTCCTGTATCCTCTCATAGAAGCTTACCGAGCCCTGATGTAAGGCGTGACGTCTGGGCCCGGGGGTCGTGGCAGCTTGCCATAAAAAATTAGCTTCTATTTCTGGTCCTTTTGTCTGGTGACCTGACCCGAGAAATCTCTCTGCCGGCAGCATAATAAGGGGGGGGGGGAAATAATACAGATCTAAACATAGATGTGATTGTGCAGCACGGGTTTCTCGCTTTGCATTGTGCTTGTTGAAATGAGGAGGGCTAAAGCACGGTGCGGTGGCTCGGTGCAGCACCAGGCTGCTCGTGGAGGGAGCTGGTTTTGGGGGGAAAATGGGAAAAGGAGCCAAGAGTGGTGTAGGGACAGCAGCTTACAGAGGCGCTGGGTGTGACCTCCAGCGCATCTTCCTTACCACCAGGCTGTACCTGCAGCTGCTGGGGCAGGGCACGGCTTTGAACTCACAGCTCAGCTGTCTAAGTGGAAAAAAACTAGAAAAAAAACTCTAAAAAATGCTGCACAGTTTAGATAGGATCACACAGCACGGTTTGCCTCTGTCTGCAGCAGCCGCCACCGAAAGCAGCCCCAGCGGGCTGTCGGGTGATGACTTTTTTCCATCGCTGCAGCCCCACCAGGGTTTGCCTGTCGAGCATCAACTGCAAGCCTGCACAGAGCCCTGCTAGCCCCAGCAGCCCGTGCCAAGGAGCCGGGCCCTGATGGGCCTCCTCTTTCTTCTTTTCTAGGCAGGGAACCGTGTGTGGGAATGAGCTCACCGTGCTTAAATCCTCCTCCTGCGCGGTTGTGGCGGGGATCCCCGCCTGCAGCTGCAGCCGGGCTCGCGGTCTCCAAGGGGCTGCCGGCCCCTTGCCGTGCATGTCCCGGCTGCGGAGGGAAGGAGCCGTGGATTTGGGAGGCACAGGTGTCTGGGGGATTGGCCCAGGGCGTCCCCAAATGCACCCGATTAAATGAAACCCCAAATGAAATGAACGCCCTCGCGAACGCCCCGAAAGCAGGTGGCAAAGCTGCAGGTGGGCAAATTCCTGAGTCTGCAAACTGATGGAAAAAGAGGGAAAAGATGTAAAATATTCAGCGTGGCTGGTGGCTGTAGGGGTTGCTTTTGACTCCCTGTAGGCTCTGATGTCCTTGGCACGGGGAAGCAGTGCCCCCGTACCCGTTTTGCCCCAACATTGCATCACCTTTGGGCTCTTCACTTTGTTTTATTTTTGTGAACCTCCTGGGCAATGGTTGATTGCAGAGCCTGGGGTGACAGGGATGCATCCGAGGCACGATTTATCGCAGCGATCTGGCAGTGCCCGTGCCGTTTCGTGGGGCTGCCCTCCCCTTGGTGGTGCAATCTGGATATCGGGGCTCCGATTTGTATCGGCTCCGAGCAGCTTCGCTCCTGCTGCAATCCTCATTTTGGGCTCTCCCTCTCCATTTCCACCACAGCAACCGTGCTGCTGGCGGTTTGGGAAACCATATTCCAAGAGTAAATTAATTAATTTGCACTGGAAAACACCCCGTATGCTACTCTTTGTTTATGGACGCGGCGAGCGAGTCGCAGAGTTAATTAACGCTAATGCCTGCGCGCTTGTGTGTGTGTGTGTGTGTGTGTGTGTGTGTGTGTGTTTTTGTCATTTCTGCCCCAGAAAATGACAGATGGGGAGACCTCAGCAGGACGTGCCCTCTGCAGATCGAGCAGCCGGGCGCCAGCATCTGGGACTGCTTGGCGGACAAGGGCGAGGAGAGCTCGCTGTGGCCGCGGGAAGCCTCCAGCACCTGCTCGGTCACCAACCTGATCAAAGAGCTCAGCCTCAGCGACCCCCACGGCCACCCCTCGGCGCCCCCCAGCAAGCGCCAGTGCCGCTCGCTCTCCTTTTCGGACGAGCTGGCCGGCTGCAGGACGTCGTGGAGACCCTTGGGCTCCAAGGTCTGGACGCCGGTGGAGAAGAGGCGGTGTTACAGCGGGGGCAGCGTGCAGCGCTACTCCAACGCCTCCGCCACCATGCAGAGGAGCTCCAGCTTCAGCCTCCCCTCCCGTTCCCATCCCTTGGCCTCCTCCTGCGACCACCCGGCGCTCGCCAGCCGCCTGGGCTGCCAGGCGAGGAAAACGGGACCCGGAGGGCCGGAAGGTGAGACGTGGAGCCCCGAGGGCGGCCGGGCGGACATGCAGAGGTCCCTGTCCTGCTCTCACGACCGCTTCTCCTCCTCGGAGCCCGGCCCGCCCTCGGCCAGCAGCACGCCCGCCTCCACGCCGCAGCTGAGCCGCCGCGCCACGGGGCTGTGCCGCAGCCGCTCGCAGCCCTGCGTCCTCAACGACAAGAAGGTGGGCGTCAAGCGGCGCAGGCCCCAGGAGGCACAGGAGCAGCGGCCGTCGCTCGACCTGGCCAAGATGACCCAGGTAAGGGCGGGCAGGGGGCTGCAGGGAGCAGGAATCCCCTCGGGATGGGGGCTCGGGGCTTTTCGCGTTGGGCTTCCCAACGTAGGGCGTCCCAACACGCTCGGCTGTGCTGTTTGTGTTAAAACTCCCGGCTGTGCTTCGTCAGGTGAGGCTGAAAAACATCCTGGGGTTTTCTCCCCTCGCCTTACAGCATGATTATCCCATGCTGTATGTCCATTTTCCCCCCTCTTGCAAGGATGGGATGTTTTATGGCGCTTCATGCCTGGCAGCTCGACGGGTGTTGGAGTGAGCTCATTCGTGTTGGAGGAGGCGATGAGCTTTTCCTTCTCCACAAGAGCTTAAAAGATAAAAAGGGCCGGGGAATTACATGTTTGGGTGACTGCAGGGGCAAAACGCAAGGCTTGCAGTCATCTTTTGATAAACCCAGCAGTAACATTTAATATGCTAAGCTCATTTTATTAGCTAACAAGCCGGACAGGCAGTAAAACGGCTGACACTTGCTGTTCCATTTTACTAGCCACCAGCTGCAATCACAAAACTGCCATCACCGAAGGCCTTCCCATCTCCTGGCATCGGTGGAAATGTTCCTAAACTACGTGGCTGTGCTCATTGGTGTCCTTCCCAGCACTGCTTCGCTTCCTGCGGGTCTTTTTCCAGGAGGAGCTGGTGATGATGAGGGTGGTGGGAGGAGGCACGGGGCTGCCGTGCCCGGGGTGCAGCCTGAGGCTGGAGGAGGGATTTTTGGGGTCGTGTTTGGGGCAGGATCCGGGTGCAACGCTGGTGTTTGCAGCAGGCTGGCTTGGAATATTTTGTCCTATCATCGAGTTCTCACCCCAGATGAGGTGGAAATGGTGGTGGTAGTTCAGTCTTCTTGTCTTTGTTTCTCCTCTTCCTCCTCCTTATTCTCTCTCTGTGCACAGCCGCTCATTGCTTCATCTGCACGTGCAGGGCAGAACATCCCACAGGCCTGCGGGAGGGTTTCGTGGTAACCCAAAACCTGCAAAAAGCCCAAATTGCCTGAAAACTCCTCAGGTACTCAAAGTACTCCTCAGGTACTCGAGGTACTCCAGACCTTTCGGGCTTAAACCACGATGCTGAAGGAGTTGCAGAGCTGCAGGAGGTGGTGGCTTGCTGCACGTGTGGCCCAGCTGCATCTGCTGGAGTGCTCGGTGGTGCACAAAGGGAAGAGAGAAAAGGAACTGCACTATTTTTATTAGCCTTGCTTTTGGAGAGTCTGCGCAGCGCTTGGTTGCCATCTCGGGGCGGCGCTTGGGGAGATGAGCAAAAAAAGGGGTTCTGCAGATGGTGGAGGAGGGCAAGCCGCAGGATGGGGATTGCTAGGGAAGGAATAAAAAGGAGCAGAACTCCCTTACCAAACACGTTATTTTTAAAAATTGCCATCCTATTGCAGTTTTCCTGGGTGCAAGTCACAGTCCTGGGCCTTTGCGGTTGTGGTTGTTTGTATAAAGGGGGGAAAAAGAGGAAAAAAGCAGGGGAAGAAGCCTCCAAAGGCGTCCCTTCGCCCTCTCTAAAAGTCATCGTGGCAGAATCATGACATTTTTCTGCTGAGCTGAAAGCAGAGGGGGCTACGTGTCCCAGCGAGGCGCAGACCTGCTGCGGGATGACAGCCCTAACGGCCCTGGAAATGCAATCCCGTGCGTGCTGCCATGAGCTGAGCCCTTTCGCTTTTAAGGAGTAGGTGGAAGGGTTCCCTCAGGCATTTTAAGTGGTAAAAATAACTGAATGCACAATGAACCCGCGGCACAACCCCAGCCGGGTCATGCCCACGAGCGTTGTGAGCTGCTCCTGGTGACAGGCGCGAAGTGCTGGCTTGGTCTTTTGGGAGAAAAGTGACGCTGAGGTTTCAAAAGAAATGCGAAACGAGCCAACAAACCCCAGCCTGGCTGTTGGAGCTGTGAGCCACGCCAGGGTATAGGCTACTACACCCCTGAAGGAGGACCTGCAAGGATCTGAGGTGCAGATCCTTGGGGTGGGGGAAGAGGCAATTCCCTTCCTGCGGGAACAACCCGGGGAAACGTCCCCAGGATCCTCCGAGGATGCCGTGGGTGGTTTCAGGGCAGAGCTTTTCCCTCGTCAGACTGAGGGGGAAAGTTTGTCAGCTGGACGAGGCTGCGGAGGGCTTGTGTATGGGCACCCCGGCTGAGCCAGGGGAGCTTCCCCTTCCCTCTGGCAGGCGCCCAGCCCAGGCACACACTTACAATTGGGATTTCCTTGCCTTTGACACAGGCAAGGGCCCTGAGAAGGACAAAATTTAATCGCTCGTCCGTCCAAAAGCAGCTCGGTCCGTGTTCCTTGAAAACCGTAGGCTCGAGGAGGAGTTGTTATTTTCCCTGGCTGCTTTCCTCCACCTCAAAAAAAAAATCCTCGGAGCCGAGGAAGCGCCGCCCGAGCAACCTGCATTACTCAGCTCCCCTCCAGCACGAGATCAGCCGCAGCCAGCTGCCAGCGTGCTTCGTGCTGGGTGAGGAGCGATGCCATCAAGGAAGGAAGCCCCACGCCGCGGGTGACCTCCACCACATCCCCCCCTGTGTCAGCAGCAGCAGAAGGGGGTGAAAATAAAGCCGGTGTCTGCTCACGGGCCGGGGTTTTCCTCGTTCCTCAGCTGGGTTGTGAAAAGCTTTTCACGTGCAAGCACAGGCTGCCTCCACGTGGGAGGACTGGCACGGAGGGACGCAGCAAGATGAGGCAGGTTAGGGTGAGCATTCTTGCCCTTGGTGGGGCCGTTTTTTGGGGTGTGGGGCAGGAGGGGAGCCCTGTGAATGCCAGCTGGTTCCTCGTGGGCAGCGGGAGGCGCTGGGACCAACGTGCTCGAGAAAACCACGCGGATTTGGTTTCTTGGCTCGAAATTCCCTCGGGTAATTGCTCAGCACCCAGCTCTGGCAGCCGAGCGGTTAAATTTTTGCTCGTGCTGGTAACCACATGTGTTTATAGGCCATAAAACCGGCACCATAATCAAAATAAAAATAATTTGACCTGAAAGAAATGTTTTCTTCATACCAAGAGGGCTATTTGGGCCAGGCAGGAGGCGTTGAGGCAGAAGGGGAGGGAGCTGCTCCTGGAAGCAATTACATGGCCGCATAACTGGGCTAATTAAGAAAGGGCTCTAAATGTTAAAGTTCTTCTGGGAGGGAGCATACTTGGAAAAACAGTGCCTCTAATTCCTCAAAGCCCCCCTTGCCTGTTTTTGCCTCTTCTTTCTGCCTTTCCCTTCGAGGGGAGGCAGCCCCACATCACTCCGTGTCTCCGTACTGACACGGCCCCGAATAAGATCAGCCTCAGAAATCAACCCCTGGAAACTACCGTCCTTGGAATAATAACAATTTGGGATCCAAAACGGTCGGGATCGTATTTTTCCACGAACCGTGTGGTTTCTCAAGCATTTCTCCTCATACTGCCAGCTGGGTGCAGTGACAAATCGGGGAGAGGGGCAATGCTGAGGGGTTTTTTGGGGTCTGGCCGAATCCCCCGGGGCAGAGGGCATCAGGAAGGGGCGGTGGGCACGGCGGGGGCTGCAATGGAGACCAAACACATCTATCGTGGTGAGCACCCCGGGATGGAGCCCGAAATCATCCCCGGTAGTGGCAGATAGCCCGGGCTATCTCTCGCCCATTCTGTTTCCTGCCTTGTGAAATGCAGATAGGGCTGTTATGGGGAGATGTTAATTTGTGTTAGCACGTTTCCAAACACAGCTGACCTTTTTTATAGATTTTTTTTTTTTAAAGTGAAGCATTTCTGTGTGTGTTTGTTCAACATCGGCCACGCTCCCTGCAGCAGCCACCCCAGGAGAGGTAGCCCCAGCCTGCAAGCTCTTGTGTGCAAGGCACCAAGGCACAGAAAAACCCAGCTGTCTGTGTGCTACGTGCCTTAGCACCTCTGGGCAATCCCAGCGGGACGTTATAGGAGATATTTCATCTCTTCCGACCATTTCCAGTGTGAGGAGCCGCCTCCGTCACAGCACGGAGATCCTCTCCTCACGTTTTCTCCAGCTCCCATTTGCCGCAGGGTTTGTACCTGTGAACACCGAGCAGTCCCTAACAGCTGGCAAAATGCTTCTAGGTGCAGCACCTTATTATGTTTATAGGGGACAAAGTGCCATAAAGCAACCAAGGGGATTCAGGTGAGCTGTGCACACCCATCTTCACGTGGTCGGGCATCCCCCTGGTGCTGCAACCCCATAAGCAGACCCCGGCGGGGCAGAGGGGGCTATGTAGGTTGGATGGGGCCCTACTGGTGGTGGTGGACACCAGTTTGGAAGGTGACGAGGATGAAATCCTTCAGAAGGAAGGGCTGTGGGAAGGACTTTGTGCCCGAGAGCTGCCTGTTGTGGGGTGGGTGCACACAATGGGGCTGTTCATGGCGCTCACAGGCTCTGCAGACAGATGGTGCCATTCATGGGGTGGCTTCGCTGTCCTCTGAGGGACACGTGGGCATGGAGACATTGGCACCGGTAATCACATGAGAGGCCTCCTGAACCGTGGCCAGGTGCTTCTTGCAGTTTTTGGGATTAAAGTGGGCTTCAGCCTGGGCTGGAAATTCAGAGCGGGGCGTGTAATGTCCCTGCTGGCTGGCGGCAGGCTGCCCCTGCCCTTTTTCCCCCCAAGACTCAGGAGAAAGGGCATGTTTCAGTGAGAATCAGTACGTGAAGGAGCTCGTACGCTCCCAAAGCTGAAATAAAGAGCCCAACAGCCAGCAATTTTTCGGGCTGGCCTTGCTGCTGCCTCAGGAAGTATTTTAAGCTGTAGGGTGGGAGAACCGATCTGTCCTGCACCGTCCTCTCCTTTCTTCCCCATCCACCCCGCTCTTCCCTTGAGGGGTGAAACCCCTCTACACTTCCCCGGGAGGTTTTCTGAGTGAATTTTGGCAGCTTTGTGGCTTGCTGGCAGCATGGGGCCGGCCGCCTCAGCGCCCACTCGAGCCAGCGGCGAGCGTTGCCCAAAGGTAGGACGGGCAAAAAAACTGGAGGCCTTGAATGCCGGCCG